GTTAGGTCCTCAGGCTGCCACAGGTCACCTCCTGAGGTCGCCCCAGAATGGGCATCTCCTATGTCCACCTGTGAGAGGTGGTGAGGCCATTTTCACGGGCAGGTAGGTGGCCTTCTGGAGCCCCCACCCCCACCCCGCCCCGGTACCCCCAACCAGAGGGACAGGGGAGGTTAGGACAGCCAAGGCCCCAGCTGGGTCATTTTCACTTCACTTTATAAACGCTCAACATTTGTTGTTTAGATGATATGAACCTTTCTCCTTGGATGGGCAACATTTTCCCCTGGAGCCCACAGGTGCTAAACACAGGAAAGGAGCCGAAGGGGAGAAGCGAGGCATTGGAAAGTCAGGAACACGTCAAGGCCGCGTGCGTTAAGACAGTGGGTCTTTAAGAGCTTCCTTTAGCTGTTGTTAACTTTTTCTTGCCCTTTATTGTGCCTGTGTCTCTGACACGTGTGTTCAGGGCAGCGTAAGGGTATGTGAACCCTCACGCTCAGAACTTGGCTTCGGAAATAGCCGACACAGTGAGAAACAGTGATGTGTCTCCCACACACATGGGAGGAATAGGAACTCCCCCTTACTCACCACCTTACAGAGAAACCCCTCACCCCCAGAGCATGCTGAACTCTCCCGTTTGGTGCTGGAGAGCGGGTCTTGGGGAATTGTTTTCCTGGCCACCTGCTCTGTCAGTGACCCAGAGGCAGCGAGACCTCCTGGAGGCACAATTTGGCGATGTGCTGACTCACTCACAGCCTCACACCTGTATTTATACCCAGGGTATCTTATCTAATCAAGAGGGAATATGCAAGTTGACCATCACGCTGTAAAGGCCAAGATGGCTGCGCCCACAGCGGAGGCCGAGTTCCCGTAATGAGCCTGAATGAGCCATCAGCAGGGACATGTGGCGCTGGGCTGGGGCAGGGGATGGGAGGCTGTGCCCGCCCCCCCGTGCCAGGCCAGGTGACCTGAGACTGCAACCCCCACCTAGTGGGGCTTGACAGGGATGGGGCTGGGCGACCCCCAACCTGGCAGGGCTTGACGGGGGACCTGAGGCTGCGCTCCCTGCCTGGCACCGGGCTGGGGAATCTGAGGTTACACCCCCAAATCTGTGGGGCTTGACAAGGGTGGGGCTGGCCAGGTCTGAATCTTGCCCAATGGGGGTGGGGCCGGCCAGTTCTGCATCTTGCCTT